TTATTATTATCAGTGTTGAAAACAGTTGTGCAGCTTAATATTCTTGTGGAAACCATTTTTACAGGATTATTTGATGAGTTGGATCTTTAAAAGAACAGCATTTATTTGAAATAGAGATCTTTTGTAACTTTATAAATGTCTTTACTATCACTTTTGATCAATTTAATGCATCCTTGCTGAATAAAAGTATCAATTTATTTTCTAAAAAATCTTACTGACCCCAAGCTTTTGAATGCTGTCTGTAAGCAGCGTTGGGGGCTTGTGGTTTACAGGAAGTTGCATGCTGCTCACATCTCTATGGTGACCACCGAGGTCCTCCGGGGGGCAGGTATGCGAGGAATGCTGGGGGCATTTGAGCAGAAGAGTTCAGAGATGCACACGCTGGCTTTAAAATCATGGATTGTTAATGTGCTGATCCGAGATGGTATATCAAGCCTCCCTGCTCCAATAAACGTCCCTGCATTTCACAGGCCAATTAAAGTGATTAATAGAGATATAATTAGATCAATGCACACCTACAGCAGTCGGGCCGATCTCACCCTTCTGAAGAAAGAGTGATAAATCAAGCTTTAAAAGAGAAAGAACATTTGAAAGAAAGGTATGCAGCATGCTGTTCACTTTTAAAGGGATAATCTTTAAAAAAATATTCTCACGCTCATGTTGATCTGTAAAAGGAGTTATTTAGAAAAATGTTCAAGCTGCTCTTTTTTTACACAGTATGATCTCCTTTAAAGGGATAGTCCACCCAAAAATTGTCACTATGTACCCTCATGTTGTTCTAAACCTGTATGCGTTTCTTTTTTCTTTGGAACACAAAAGAATATATTTTGAAGAATGTTTATAATCAAACCATTTCAGTTTCTATTGACTTCCATTGTATTTTTGTCCATACAATGGAAGTCAATGGGAACCAAAATTGTTTAGTTACCGACATTCTTCTAAATATTTTCTTCTGTGTTCCACAGAATAAAGAAATACATACTGGTTTAGAACTTTTAAAGGTGAGAAACAGATTTTACATTTTTGGTTGCACCGTCCCTTTAACTAAAAGTTTGTTTGGAATGCCTTTGTGTTGTCTTTTATTAGTGGTGTGTTAAAGCTTTCAAAACCCTTTTAAAAGAGTGTGATGACACCTTCTCTAACTATAGGAATGCTGTGTCAACATTACAGGCTTTTCTCAGTGAGATTGAAGGGCTGCTGTTTTGATGTCTAAGCTCTTGTAGTTGCAGTTTGTGCAGTACATACTCCACATACACAAACAAACACACAAATATATGGTCTCAAAACACTTGTCACCACAAATGCTTTGTAATATTTTTTCTTCTATAAGAAATAAGCATTCAGTTTATGAAATAAGGGGTGAGATTTGTGTTGTTGGGTTTTTAAAAAAAAAATTTTTTATAATTTTATTCAGCAGGGATGCATTAAAAGTGACATATCATGAAAATCTAACTTTTTCTGTGTTTAAGTGCTATAATCGGGTCCCCGGTGCATCTACCAACCCAGAAAACGTGAAAAAGAACAACCCAGTAAACTTTTCTCTGCAAGCTTGTGAAAAAACGAACCGATCAGATTTCGCTCCCCCGTGACATAGAAAAGGGATCTTATTATAATATTACCGCCCCTTAATCTGCATGTTTCCACTCATTCACGAGAGCAGTGGATTTATTGATTTATTTACTGTATATTGCTGCTGCCACACAAGCCGGGTTTCCATCCAAAGTTGCGAATTTAACTTGTGCGCAAAATTGGAATATCGCATAAAACATTTGCGAACAAGCACTGTTTCCATCCAACGAGTTAGAGAGAACAAAATCATCACTTCCTGATAAACTGGCACTAAATACCACTACGAAAGTAAGAGAAGCCAGTGAATATAATAATTCTCAAATATAATAAATTACTTGCGCTGTGAGTGAGCAGACGAAACACAATAAACGCAGTCTTGCTTTCGGAGGAGAATGTCAGCTGTTTGGGAACGCAGTCATGGTAGACCGATCTGGGAGGCAGTTATACAGATATACTTTGACGACAGACTTTGCTCGTGCACTTCAGAATGACCATGACAACATTTCAGATGCTGTGCAACAAAATCGGTCCGCT